ATTCTTCTTGGCAAAACTTGCCTTTGGGCAAAAACTCCCCTGCCTTGTCCACTGACAAAATGCAAGGTATCTAGACTGGACAAGCAGGATACAAGAAAAAAGACTGCCAAACCTTGCCAAGACAGGGTAAAACTTTTTTTTTCTTTCAAAATTTCCTGCCTCTGAAAAAGGTCTGTCAGTTATTCTAGGCTTTAGACAAAGTTGGTTGACCCAATATTACAAATGAGACTTTGGGTGATTACCCAGGTTGCCAACTCTCTCTGTCATTTCTTGCACCCTTTGGAAGTTGCTTGATTGTGCTTCCTGTTTACTCAAGTCATATTATTTACCTTCTCAGGTCTAAGATAGGGTTAAAGACTAGATTAGTCATAGTTACTTTCCTCTCATGACTTAGCCAAACCGTTTTTAATATAAGACTTAGAGACCTTAGAATAGGATAACTATTAAAACATTTAGCATATGTTTCTTGTTTGATGTTGTTCATGCTGGTTGTAATTCTAATTTTTATGTATGTTTTTGCCTCTTCTTTTCCCTGAACAATACTTGATATTTGTTCTTACTGTATATAGTTTTATATTAGATTTAGAATTCTCTTAATTAGACAAAAGGGGGGAGGTGCTGTGGGAACTACTTCAGTCAATAGCCTTTAAGATACCGGCCCACTTTGGGAATGGTCTCATGCACTGTAAATGCAGCTAAAAAGATTGTGTGGGCCTCTTGGCTGCTGGATTTGGTTCCAGGTTCCATTGCATGCAGAGGAATGCAGATCATTACCCTTTCTGTGAATTTATCATCAAATAAATAAACCTTTGTTATACTCCATTCTGGGCTATTGTGGAACTCTTTTGTACACCAAAATAAAATTGTACACTTACATGAAATTACATTGTGCACCATATTTTCTTTACCCATTAATCTGTTGATAGAGTTCTAAGCTGGCTCTATTCCTTGGCTCTTGTGAACAATGCAGTAATAAATATGGGTGCACAAGTATCTCCATGGCTTCCTGACTCAGAGCCCTTCAGGTATACACTCAAAGCTGGCAGAGCTGGATCATATAGCAGCTCCGTCACAAGGCTTTGAGTAATTTTTACATGGATTTTCATAGTGGCCATACCAGCTTACATTCCCACAGTCAATAATTAAAGATTCCTCCCCCGGGGTTGGAAAGACAGTTCAGTGTTCTTACAGAGGACTGAGGATCCTAGCACCCATGTCAGGTGACTAGCAAACACCTATGACTCTAACTCTAAGTGAACTGGACACTCTGGCCTCCAGGGCACCAGGACACAGTCCACATACCAACACAGAGACACACATATTTCTTTCCCTACGTTCTAGCAACATTTGGTGTAAATTGTTGTCCTTTTTTCCTTTTATTTCATTTCATTTCTTTTTTTTTCCTTGGTTTTGTTGAGGCAGGGTTTTTCAAACAGGGCTACAGAGAGAAATCCTGTCTCAAAAAACAAACAAACAAACAAACAAACAAAAAACAAAACAAAATAAAAAGAATATCTACATCAGCTTAATGGACTGTCTTTCTTTCCTTGGGCTCTCAGTTTGTGGATGTGTTTAGCATTGAGGTATATTTTGTGGAGACAAGAGACAGTTGGATCCAGTTTTTCCAACTCACCAGAGCTGGGACTGGAGACCTGCTCGGCAGTTAAGAGAGTATACTGTTCTCTCAGAGGACTTGAGTTCAGTTCTCAGCACCAACTGGGGCACTTACCACAGGAGGATTTGGTCTCTGAGTGTGCCTACATTCATGTACATACCCACAACAGACATCCACACTCCTGGGAGTACCCCCAGCTCTACTCCTGTGAGTACCCTTGCCTATACTCCTGTGAGTACCCCCAGCTATACTCCTGTGAGTACCCCTGCCTATACTTCTGTGAGCACCCTTGCCTATACTCCTGTGAGTACCCCCAGCTATACTTCTGTGAGTACCCCTGCCTATACTCCTGTGAGTATCCCCAGCTATACTCCTGTGAGTACCCCCAGCTATACTCCTGTGAGTACCCCCGCCTATGCTCCTGTGAGTACTCCCGCCTATACTCCAGAGAGTACCCCCAGGTATACTCCTGCGAGTACCCCCATGAGTTCACTGGTTCACCAAGTCAGACTCCCAAGTTAACCTTGCCTTGCCCTTTGATCAGGTCCTTTTCTGGGGTGAGTAGACAATTGTCCTCCCTTCCCCAGGAGAGTGTCACTCTCATAAATAGCCATTCTTTAGGTACTCCTGGGTGTCAAAACAAACTGTGATGAGTTAGACTTGGAGATGCAGAAACGGAAGACTGAAGTCAAAGAAGCATGCGAACACCAGCATGCCTCACTGCAACTAACCACACGATTCTCTTTCACTGGCTGCCTCGGGTGCCGGCGCCATGCCTCCTTTGTCACGACGAATGGTTTACCCTTACGGTTTAAACTAATGACTCAGAGGCTAAGAGCACTCAGAACTCTTGCAGAGGACCCGAATTCAGTTCCCAGAATCTGTGCAGCAGCTCAGAACTCTGCAAGGTCAGTTCCAGCAGATCTGAATCTGTCCTTGCGCTCCTCTGGCACCTATGCACAAGTCACAGAAAGACCCAATCGCATGAATGCATTTTAAAACTCTTTAAAAAATTGTGATGACTCACGGGTTAAAGCCACTGGATGCTCTTGTAGAAAACTCAGGTTTGATTCCCAGCACCCAAACTACAGCTCGCAACCACCTGTAGCTCTAGCTCCAGGCCATTTGACAACTCTTTGGCCCCTTCTGGCACTAGGCATACAAGTGGTCCATGACATACACACAGGCAAAACACCCATACATATAAAATAAAATAAAATTTTTAACATTTGAAAATTGTGAGCCAAAATAAAACCTTCCTTCCTTTAAAAAAAAAAAAAAGACAGGAGGAAGAGGAAGAAGGTAGGTTGAAGTAAAGTTTACACTTGGGTTATTGTTATTAATACAAGTTTTTAAAAACTGTTTTTATGTTATATATATATTCATATTTAATTTTTATTTTAAAAAGATTTCTCTGTGTAGCCCTGACTGTCCTGGAACTTGCTTTGTAGACTATGCTGGACTTGAACTCACTGAGATCTGCCAGCCCCTGCCTCCCGAGTGCTGGGATTAAAGGCATGCACCACCACCACCCAGCATTAATGCAAGATTTTCACAAACACATTTTTAACCTTCTCAGTTGTACAATTGACCTCTGAACAGCTGTCTTGATAACTCGTACAGCTTCAAATCTTTTTCTTACTGGATCCTGAGTCAGGTATGAATGCTTTGCATTTTGATAAGAACATACTATAGGCACACACACACACCCCTCTGAAACAAAAAACCTGTGAAACAAAAATTCTTCCTTATTTCCAGAGATGCAGCTTTTTGTTTATTTGGCTTAAGACAGAGTCTCACTATGCTGTCTTGGTAGCTTGGAGCTCCTCTCTGAGTAGCTCTGTCTGCCTCTGCCTCATTCACAGAGATCGATCTGTTGCTAACCCCCAAGTGCTGGGATTAAATACGTGTGCCACTGCACTCAGGTGCCTTCATTTTCAAAAATAATGGTTACAGGCCAGGGTGTAGTGGTGCATGTCTTTAATCCCTGCAGAGGCAGGCAGAGCTCTGTGAGTTCAAGCCCAGCTTGGTTTACAGAATGAGTTCCAGGACAGCTGGAACTATGTAGAGATCCTATCTCAAAACAACAAAACAAAACAAAAACGGTTATGATCCATTAACTGTATTTTACAACTCCCTCCTAGGTTTGAGCCACAACATTGAAAACACACCTGGATGCCAGGCATGTGACCCACACCTGAAGCCCCAGCACCTGAAACTAACTCCTAAGCAGGCGGGACTACAAGTCTGGAGCCACTCTGGGCTGTGCAGCAAGTTCCCGGCCAGCTTAGTCTAGAAAAAACGCGACCTTACAAACCAACAAATCACCTTAAAAGTTTAAATGACACAATGCATCGAAAGGATTTGGTTCCGAGAAGGCTCCATACGTGGAAAACTTCAGAAAGTGCTGCTGTGGTAGGGGGGTCTAGAGAGCGAAGCAGCCAGGAGCAAACAGGTGGCATGGGAGGTAAAATACACAATAGATCAATTGGGGAAACCGGGCAGTGTCGCTCAGATCTGCTCAGGCCTGATCTTTTCTGTCATCTTGGGGCCCACAGCTCAAATGTCCTTGCAACACTTGCAATAAGCTCCCTTCGGTTCCATTATTTATTATCTGTTTTCTCCACAGAACTCCTCTTATCCAAAATCAATCGCTTATTTGCATGCTTATTGCTCCCTGCAACCTTTCACCTTGACGGCTGCAATCTTATCTACCACCGGCGTAATTGTATCTTAGATAAATACAATGTTTAGAGAGTCATGCAATAAATACTTCTTGAATGAATCAAAGACCACTAGGAAATAAACAGGACATTATAATCAAATATCCATTTTGCTAACCCTGTACATATTTTTGTTATGCTTTGCATTCTTTATTACTTATGAATATCGGATTGCATGAGAAGAAAATAACCAAGACAGAAATCCTCTAAGGAGTTGGCTTTCTAAGAAACAGGTACCATTACTCAAGGAAATCTATTTTAAGGGCTTCTAGTTACTGACCGCTGAACATTATTTTAGTTTCTCCTTAGTTCCTTGAGGGCAAGGACAGCTTGTTGATCTCTCCTTAGCGACCAGAATATTGCCCAGAAGATAGTGGGCTCTCAATCACTGTTTAGAGACTGAAAGAACTCAGAAAGAAACCAAGGGAATGCGTAAAAATGAAGTACGTTTGTCCAGGATGCAGTTCCTCCCCGAGGCAGCAGGCGGCGCCATGGCTATATCTGCCTGGCTGCCTGCTATTCTTGGCCCTTCCCACTGAACGTCTAACGCTAGGTCCCGAAGGCGTTTGCTGAAATGAGCCAATAGAAAACTACTTTAGTTAAGTGGTCTGCCAAAGATACCCAATAAACTCAGCGTTTCTAGAAGAGGGGCGGTGCGAAGGGGAGGGGCTGAGAGGAGCGGTTAGAGGTGGGAGTTGGTGCTGCCTGCCGGGCGGAGACGGAGGGCTGCGATGCGGACCTGGCCGCGGCGGTGACCGGAGCTGCCGCCCGACATGAACTCGCTGGAACAGGCGGAAGGTAGAGTGTGTCGCCCGCCCAGTCCCGAGGCGGACGGGGCCGCGAGGGCGGCGTGCCGGGGACTCGGGGCGCACGGCCGCGGAGGGGTGCCACCTCCTTCCCGCTCGGGCGGGGGGCCCTTCTCATTGACGAGCCCTTGCGTGTGGTTGTCGAGTGCGGATTCATTTTCTTTTTGTCTGACAACCCCACGAGCCGTAACCCGAATTTCTTCCTTGGCTTCCGGTAACTGCCGGGGTTTCGGAGTGTTCTTGGCCTTCCAAAGTTTTGCAAAAACTCCACTGTGGAAATAGCACCCCACTTCATTCAGAGGTGCGCCCTGTCACAGCCCAAGGCGTAGGTGCTCGCTGCTGCCGGGACGATCACCGGTCACTCATTCCGAGGAGGGAAGGGAGTGTCTTTGTACGACCGTTATCTGTCTACGGAAGTCTAGTAAGCCCATACTACAGAGCCATCAATTAGTGATGAGAGCTAGGGCCTGAATCGGATAATTGCAACCCTCATGGGTTTTGATGTTTCAACAGAAAGTTCGTGGTTGCACAGAATCAGAATTCAGCTGGATTTTGCTCCTTTTATTTGCTGCTCCTCGATTCCAGCTTTTGGCTCCGGCTGGTCTTCCTTATACTATTTTTCAAGCTTCTAAATGTAGACCAACTGGTTTCCAGAAACTGGAATGAAAGCAAAGTGATGTTTTTGTTGTGTACGTAAAACTGTCATCATAAGCAAAGAGTGCATGACATATGGGATTGGATGTGTAAGGCCTGTAGCCGTTATCGACCTAAAATTTCATTTTAATAAGTTCAAACTGAAAAGCGTAGGTAGAGAACTGAACTCTCTTTGCCTAGATCTCAAGGCTTTCGAAAGAAGACTTACTGAGTATATTCATTGCTTGCAACCGGCCACTGGACGCTGGAGAAGTAAGTTGCCAAATGCTTTCTAGGGGAAAAGGAGGTGCCGCTGATAACTTTATTACTAATTTATTTCATACTTGGGACTAATAAAGGCTTACTCAGCTATCAGATTTCTGTGTTTAGACAACTTTTAAATATGCTACTTAACACTGTCAATGTATAACAAAGAAATGCTTAAGAAAAGAAAATAATGGACTAGCAAGATGGCCTGGGTGCATGCAGTAGAGTTTAGACCTCAGTTTCAGCCTCAGAAGCCATTTAAATGGTGAAAGAGAGGATGGACTCCACAGAGTTTTCTGACCTCCACATGCATTCATGCCTGTACATGTCATGCATATACACACACACAATAAATGATTTTTTAAAGAAAAAAATTATAACTGGCTACCCTAAAAGGACAGACTATTTTATATGGTTAATTTTTTTTAACCTATTCTATTCTGTTCTATTCTTTCTTTCTTTTCTTTCTCTTTTTCAGAGACAAGGTTTCTATGTAGCTTTGGAGCCTGTCCTGGAACTTGTTCTGTAGACCTGGTTGGTCTCAGACTCACAGAGATCCTCCTATCCTCCTACCTCTACCTCCCAAGTGCTGGGATTAAAGGCATGCACCACCACCGCCCAGCCTTTTTTTTTTTTTAATAAGATTTATTTATTATGTATACACATGCCAGAAGAGGGCACCAGATCTTATTATAGATGATTGTGAGCCACCATGTGGGTGCTGGGAATTGAACTCAGGACCTCTGGAAGAGCAGCCAGTGCTTTTAATCTATGAGCCATCTCTTCATCCCTTTTTTTGGTGGGGGGAGTAGGGAACTGAGACAGGGTTTCTCTGTGTAACAACCTGGTTGTCCTGGAACTTGCTTTGTAGTTCAGGCTGCCTTGAACTCACAGAGATCCCCCTACCTTTGCTTCCCAAGTACTGGAATTAAAGGTGTGTGCCACCACTGCCTGGCTGAATTTTTATTTTTCTATGAAAATACATATTTTTAAAAATTTTAAATATATTAGTGTTTTGTCTGCATATATGTGTGTGCATGCCTGGTACCTGCAGAGTCCAGAAGAGGGTACCATATATCCTGGAACTGGAGTCTCTAGTGATTGTAAGCCACTGTGTGGGTGCTAGGGACTGAACCCGGGTTCTCTGTGAGAACAGAAAGTGCTCTTCACTGCTGAACTGTCTGTCTAGCCAAAAAAAAAAATCATGTTTTTATGCGTATAAGTGTTTTCTTTTTTGCCTGCATGTATATCTGTGTTACTATGTGTGTGCAATGTCCATAGAGGCCAGAAAAGGGCACTAGATCTCTAGGGCTGGAGTTACAGAGTAGTTGATAGTCATGTGGGTGCTGGGAATTGAACCCAGAACTTCTGGAAAAGCAGCCGATGCTTTTAACTGCTGAGCCACCTCTCCAGCCCAAGATACGTGTTTTTTATTAAATGTTATAACTGATGAAATATACTCAATAGAAATTTTAGTAGCCAGTGAACTTCAGACTCAGTGAGCTACTCTGTCTCATACAAGAAGTTATACAGCTAGGTGTTGGTGGTGAATGCCTTGAGTCCCAGTATTCTGGAGGCAGAGGCAGGCACATCTCTGAGTTCAAGACCAGCCTGGTCTACAGAGTGAGTTACCGTCTTGAAGGAAAAAGCAAAACAAAACAAAACAAAACCCCAGCAAAACACATTTCACCTACAAGCTATTGAATACAATTTTGTTAAGAAAAATCATTTTGGAGCTGGTGATTGAGAGTGCACCTGATCTTGTAGAGGACTCAAATTCCGTTCCCAGGGCTCATGTCAGCCGTCTGAAACTCCAGTCCCGGGGATCCGACACCCTCTTTTATATTCTGCAGACATGTGCACAAGCCTATATGGATACACACACACACACAAGGAGACATAATTTAATATAATAAATCTTTTTCAGAAAAAGAAAAATCATATTTTGACTTGAGGATGACTCTGGTAGACCATATGCTTAGCATATACAAAGCTCTTACTTTAAAAAGAAGTTATTCAGTTATAACCCACCTATAAGGTTAAAACAGGGCTGAAGAGATGGCTCAGTAGAAGACCTGAGTTTGGTTCTGAGCACCAACATGGTGACTCAGAATCCTCTGACCTATGCAGGCCTTGCATACATATAGTGTACATATATACACTCAGGTACATACATATAGAATTACGTAGATATTTAAAAAGCAAAGGTTATATTTCTTTTAATATATTTTTTAAAAATATTATATTACTTATATTGTTGTAATGTGTCCTTGCATGAAGGTTCACTAACATGCCACAGCCCATGTTGAGGTCAGAGGACAACTTGTGGGGGACAGTTTTCCCCAGCCACCTTGTGGGTCCTGGGAATCGAACTCAGGTCACAAGACTTGATGGCAAGCCCTGTTGTCAGATGAGCCATCTTGATGACCTCCTTAGTTGATGTTTGATACAGCCTAATGGTATACTTTGGAGCCTGACCCAGAAAAGACTTTTACCTTACTACTGCCTATTCCTAAGTATTGTGAAGGCTACAATGTATCATTTGATTGAGTTCTAGTTATTGCTCCAAGGAAGGGGCAGAGTGGGAAATGTGATCAGATATAAAAGCATTGATATAGCCAAGAGAATGTTCTGCTCATCTATATTGAGACAAATTGTCTTTTTTCCCCCTCCTCCCTCCATTCCTTATCTTTTTGGATATGGGATCTTGCTGTCTTGCTCAGGCTGGCCTCCAATTACTAGGCTCAAGTGACTCTCCTACTTCTGCTTCCCGTTGTTGGGACCACAGATGTGTATACCACTCAGCTGTGCACTAGTTCTGGGAAGCTGGACTCTGGGATTTAGTGTCAGCCTAGAAGTACAGTCAGGACTCAACCTATTTTTCAGTGCTGGGTTGCAGATCCAGGGCCTTACATTTGCTGGACATGCTCTCTATGACTGAACCACATAGATAATGCAAAGACATAGGTTTTTTTATTTTTATATTTTTGATAATTTTTTTTTAGGTTTCTATTATGAGTATTTTGCCTGCATAAACATCTTTGTATCACATGCATGCCTGGTATCTGAGGAGGCAGTGAGCCACAGTGTGGGTGCTGGGAATCGAACCTGGTTGGCATTTGTATTTTTTGAAGATTTAGTTACTATTTTTCTCTTAACGTGTATGAAAATTTTGCCTGCATGTATGTATACACACCATGCCCTGGCCCCAAGGAGGGCAGCATAGGTTACTCGGCCTCCTAGAATTTTAGTTAAGGACAGTTGTTAGCCTCGTGTTCTGAGAGCTGAACAAACTCCAGTCTTCTTTAGGAGTAGTGTGTGCTCTTTTATCTACTGAGCCATCCCAGGCCTGCAGACTTATCTTATTTTAAGGTTTGACTCAGGCTGCAGGACCAAAGGAGCACTATTAAAGTCAGGAGTCAGAACTTTTTGTTGATTTTATTTTGTACACAGCATTTTGCCTGCATGTCTGCACTGTGCGGTAAGAGGGCGCCAAATCTCTTCATAGATGGTTGCGTTGATTGCAAGTCACCATGTAATTGCTGGGAATTGAACTCAGGATCTCTGGAAGAGCAGTCATTGCTCTCAACTGCTGAGCCATCTCTCCAGACCCACAGGGCTCAGGACTTTTTAAGGATTTTTACTAGTTGTCTTTGTGAAGCTGTTCTGTAAGTTTTGATTGGTTGGATACACAAGTAGTGATTTTCTTATTCTTGTTCTTGTTTACGAAGAAATTGCTACCAAACATTTGCTGGAAAAACCTTTTAAAGTGTGTGTAGTACTGCCCTAGCTTTTAAAATGCCATAGGATTTACACACTTTGCTTTTCATCTACTTCATGCAAATGCCGTCAGCTTGGTTAATATACCAATCAAATAAAGACATATATATGAAATCCTTTCTAATATTTTGGTTTTGGTTTTATGTCATTTTTTAATGAAAGTACCAGCGTAATCGTAATATATTTCTTTCTGGAAATACAGAGTAAGGAATTGAGTTTAATTTGTTCTTAGCTCAGAAAATTGTTTTGATTCTATTACTGATACCTAAAATGATTTTTACCTAAAATGATTTTTAAAGATTATTTGTTTAGCCAGGCGGTGGTGGCGCGTGCCTTTAATCCCAGCACTCAGGAGACAGAGGCAGGCAGATCTCTGCCAGTTCAAGGCTAGCCTGGTCTATAAGAGCTAGTTCCAGGGCTGGCTTCAAAGCCACAGAGAAACCCTGTGTGTGTGTACCAAAAAAAAAAAAAAAAAAAAAGAAAGAAAGAAAGAAGAAAAAGATTATTTGTTTATTATGTATACAGTTTTCTGCCAGAAGAGGGCACCAGATCTCATTACAGATGTTTGTGAGTCACAATGTTTTTGCTGGAAATTGAACTCAGAACCTCTAAAAGAGCAGCCAGTGTTCTTAACCTCCTCTGACCCATCTCTCCAGGCCCATAAAATGATTTTTTTTATTACATCTATCAATGGAAATTCCAGATGATTACAATTTTGCTATGTTTTTGTTTTTTGAAATTTGGTTTTCCCATTTGTAAGTCTATCCACTGTGACTGTCTTCATTTCCAGAACATTTGCCTGTTGACTGAGGTTTCTGTTCTGTCTGGTCCCACAGCCGTCAACCATTCAGTCCCAAAGAAATCCCACAGAGGTCTACATTAATCATAAACTGATTGGCCCAGCGTCTCAGGCTCTTTTTATTAACTAATTCTTATAATTTATATTAGCCCATAATTCTTGTTTGTGTTAGCCACGTGTCTTGGTACCTTTTTTGACGAGGCAGACACATCTTGCTTCCTCTGCATCTGGGTCACAACTGTAGGCTGAAACTTTCCTCTTCACATAATTCTTGTTGTCATGCTTCTACTTCCTTCCTGGTCGCCGTCACCCTGCCTGTACTTTCTGCCTGGCTACTGGCCAGTCAGCATTTTATTAAAAATGGTACAAGTGATGGTACAGACCATTGTCCCACAGCATTTGCTTAGTCACAGTGTCCTTTTGTTCTTTTTTTATTAATACCTTGTAGTCTTCAATTTATAATTTATTTAGATTTTAAAAGGTGGAGGTGTCTAGCAAATGGCTAGGCAAGTAAAAGTGATTGCTGCCAAACTTGATGACTTGAGTTCAATTCCCAGGAGCCATCTGGTATAGGGAGAGAACCAGCTCCCACAGGTACCTCTGACCTCCACATGTGCACCATGGCGCACGCACGTGTGTACATACACACATACCATACATACATACACACAACTGAACAAATGTAGAATTAAAAAAAAAAAACCTTAGTGGAAAAACTCAACCCTTTCTGGTTTCTACTACTAGCCTTAGAAATTTCTTTAAGTCCTTCCTTCCTTCCTTCCTTCCTTCCTTCCTTCCTTCCTTCCTTCCTTCCTT